CAATGGAAGGGGGTGGAGGAGAGTATAATTGGGGTGGTAGGGATCTTTGATTATGTTGGCTGCTTTCCTGAAGCAGAGGGAAATATAAGTGGAGTCAATGGAAGGAAAAAGCCTTTCTGAAGTTTGAGGTTCACTGGACTCGAAATGTTAACTCTGATTTCTCTCAACAGATGCTGCCAGACCTGTTGAGTTTTTCCAGCAGTTTCTGTTTTTGTCAATGGAAGGAAGGCTGGTTTGCATGTTGGACTGGGCTGTGTTCACAACTCTAACTTCTTGCAGTCTTGGGCAGAGCAGTTGCCGTACCAAACTGTGATGCATCTGGATAGGATGCTTTCTGTGGTGCATCTATAAAAATTGGTAAGTGTCATTGTGGACATGCCAAATTCCCTTAACTGTCTGAAGACATAGAGGCATTGGTGCACTTTCTCAACCGCAGTGTTGATGTGGATTGGCCTGGACATATTTGTTGGTGATATTTACACCTGGGAACTTGAAGCTCTCAAACATCTCCACCTCAGCACCATTGAGACAGACAGGGGTCTGCTTCCTGAAGTTGTTGACCAGCTCCTTCATTTTGCCAATATTGAGGGAGAGTTTGTTGTCTTTACATCAGCTCACAAAGCTTTCTGTCAGTCTCCTGTACTGTGTCTTGTCATTGCTTGAGATCCAACCCGCTCGGTGATGTCCTCGGCAAAGTTGTAACTGGAATTAGAGTTGAATTTGGCCCCACAGTTGTGAGTTTATAAGGATTATAGTAAGGGGTTGAGTAAGCTGCCTTGCGGGGCACTGGTGTTAAGGATCATTGTGGAGGAGGTGTTGGCGCCTATCCTTACTGATTGCAGTCTGCGGTCAGGAAGCCGATGATCCACTTGCAGAGAGGGAGCAGAGTCCTAGGTGTCAGAATTTGGAGATGAATTTGGAGATGAGTTTGGCTGGAAAAATGATGTTGAAACTGGAGCTAATGTCAATATGTAGGAGTATGACGTATCTGTCCTTGTTATCCAGGTGTTCCAAGGATGAGTATAGGGTCAAAGAGATGGCGTCAACTGTGGACTTATTGCGACAGTGGGCAAGTTGTAGTGAATCAGGGCAATCTGAGAGGCTGGAATCGATGTATGCCATTACTAACCTCTCAAAGCACTTCATAATGATAGATGTCACAACCACTGGGCGGTATTTATTAAGGCACGTTGCCTGATTTTTTTTTGTTGGCACTGGGATGACAGTGGTCTTCTTGAAGCAGGTGGGAACCTCACATCGGAGTAAGGAGAGGTTAAAGATGTCTGCAAATACTCCCGCCAGCTGGTCTGTGCAGGTTCAAAGTGCATGGCTGGAGACTCCATCCAGGACAGTTTCTTTCCATGGGTTCACACTCAAGAAGCTGGTCTGACATCTACGGCAGTGACTGTGGGTACAGGTGCACACCAAGGCTGTCGGGGCAGGTGACATCATTTCACTGACCTTCTGCTCAAAACGAGCGTAGGATGCATTGAACTCATCAGGGAGGGATGCATTGTTGTCATTGATTCTACTCGACTTTGCTTTGTAACCCACTGAGATTGACAGTAGGTTTGCTGGCAGGCTTCATAATAACATTTTATTGTGCGTTTCCATCAGTGTTCCTCTGTAGACTAGCATATTGTGCTCCTGTATCCTGTGCGCTGAGTCTGTAGGGTTCCAGAAGATGTTCTCTCTCTCTCTCTTAGTGATGTTCAGTAAAGCCTGTTAATGCTCAGTGACCTGAGCTTACACTTGATCTAAGTACAGATGGCAATGGTGACCATAGCCACAGAATTGGAGACATATGTGAAGGAGCACTTGAAGTGAAGCAGAATAATGCTGCACGTAAAAAAAAAGGTCAGCAATCTATCCAGCTACAGAAGTGGGGGGAAAGATTTGAAGAGCAGCCCATCTGCATCACAGTGCTTAGTGAGTGAACAAGTTCAGGGCTCACCTAGGCACCAGGCAGTGGAGAGGGAATGCTGACAGAAAGCTTACAAAGCACAGGGCTGCCAAAAAAATCAGTTCACTACTATGAGTAAAACATTACAGTAGATTTAGCTATTTACAGAAATCAGGAAGAAAAGAAGGTTTTCCAGCAGAAAATATGCGAAAAAAAACAGGATGCCATTATGGGGCTGCACTGGAGGATGCTGAACTCCGGCAGTATTACAGAGGGTCACAAGTGCTGAGAGAAATCATTTTGGAGCTGCATTAGCAGTGCAGAAAATGAAAAACAGACCACCATAGTTTGCAAATCTCCAGGCATCTCTCTGGAGTTTGACGGGTGAGAGAGATTATTCTGTGGTAAGGGCAGCAGCACCACAGGGAATTGGAAAGACATTGGCATCCTGAAATGTATTCTTTTGTCAGCTGTACACCTACATCTGTTAGAGATGAACAGGACCTTGGCAAAGTTGCAAACAGCTCAGCTGAACGCAAAGGACATGCCAGCGTTGAGACTTAATGCAGTAAACAGTCACAAATGGTAGACAGTCTGACAATTTAAGGGCTGGCAGCTGCAATGAAGCTTATGGTAGTTCAATCAACATTTACTGAAGCCAGAGAACTGGCCACAATATCTGAGAAGTCTGTTTCAGACAAAACTTTTAGCTTGACCACCATCCACGAACTAGCCAATGGTACAGTAAATGGGAAGAACCCTCATTCAAAGTCTGTTGCTTATAATGATTAGATTACATGGTCAATGGAGCCCCCTCCTCAGCCAAAACATTGCCCAAGTTTAACGGTTCAGTCTTTGCCTACCGCAAAGGGATTATGTGTGAATGTCCCTGAGGAGCTCTTGGGATCAGCCGTTTACACTTACTTGAGTGGATAGTCTAGGGTACTTTCAGACAGCAAAACTCCTTTCTGATAGCTTCGTAATTTGCAACATCAAGCTATGTAAATGTCCAGCCATTTTGAGAGCTGTTGTCTTGGTCATTTAAAATACTGCTGTCAGTTTTTTTAAAAAGATATCCTGTAGTTCAATCCAGTTTATAAGTAAGGTCATTTTTGTTGTGAAACATGGTTTTATAGTAGGATTCAGACAAGCCAAAGAAAGAAGAGTTAGTGTTGAACCAAGTGAAAGTAAGAGAAGGATTGGAATTGGAAGCAAATTGATGGAATTTTACATTTCAGGGCAATTATAGGAAATAGCACTGAAACAGGAGTCAATGTATGAGATGAAGTAGTGGGGGAGGTTGAGTTAAACTGTAACGAAGAATGTTCCATATTTCCCACAAAAGGCAGGACCCGTACAAATAGCCAGAGGAACATATTTGATTTGAAGGGTAAGGGAGTGTGTGGAGATGAAAGAGAAGTTCTTATGTCATAAGTTTGGCCAGGTGGAGGAGGAACGTGCTGGATGTAGACCAGTTAGGTCTCAGCTCAAGGAAGAATTGGGAGATGGAGATGTAGAAGACTTGGCTGGTCAAGGTGAAGAGAACATGGTTAAGCCCAGAAAATTAGAAAGGGCTGAAGTGATGAATTGAAAGAGCAAGGATGTAGGTGAAAAGAGACTGGACAAGGTGGTTTAAAGGAAGGAGAATAGAGTTTAAAAGAAACAAGTTTAGTTGGGCACATTTTGGCAGAAATGAAGTGTCTACTGGGGCAGACGCTGTTTGTTAGTTTTGGAATCTGAGAGTTTGAAACCCAGCTGGTTCACTCATGTCTTTTATAGATAGAAATCTGCTGTCCTTCCATGGCCAGGCCTACCTGCAATTCCAGGCCCACAAAATGTGGTTTACTGTTAACTGCTCTCACAATGCACTTCTTTAAGAGCTGTAAGCTAACTTTAAGTGATGCTGGCAAGTTATGATTTTCAACATTGTTGACATGTGCTCCCAATGGATGACACAGTTAGTGCTGGCTGCACACAGCAATCATGGAGATAAGCAGGCAGCACAAAGTTGGCATGTTGCCTGCATTCCATTTAATGGGCTTGGGTTAATCTGGTATGTTGTTCGGAGGCTATCCTATTTATTCCCATAAATTGCTATCCAATTTTTCTGAAGACATCTGTAACTGAAATCTGCCATATTTTGTATTTCATAGTAAAATATATTGTAAAACAACAGAGTGTTCGCAAGAGTAACCTTTTGAGTTAAATGTTTATTTCGAAATGAGTGTTTTAAATGTGTCAGTCGTTTTACTTTGAATAGAGGTTTTTAACATCCATTTGCAAATAAAAGGTTTCAACACTCATTTTGTTTTCCAATGAGTTTCCCAGGTCATTCTTAATGAATACTATGGAATCTCATTGACCATCTCATTTACATACAATGATGTTGTGATAAGTATTTACACTTTCTGTGAACACTGAACACAATAACGTTGGCAAACACAGGAATTATTTATTCAAATTTGCTGCGACAGTTGACTAAATAAGACAATCAATGCTTTTTACTAATGTCATATTTTTGATGTTAAGACCATGAATAAAATTAATACGTTTAATATTTATTTGTGGCAAATTTCAACAATAAAATCTATTTGTCTGACAGATTTATAAATCATGAGGCTTTTTTAAGTTATAGAGTATGCATGAAGTGATAGTGTAGTTAATTGCAGTTCTGCTTCCAAAATGATGCTTATGCCTGTAAATTTTCTTAGATTCAATGACAAGTGCAGAAGGGTATGCAAGAAATAGCACCAGGCATCCCTAAAAATAAGGTGTCAATTTGCTGAAGCCTTAACACAGGACTACTTGCATGCCAAATAGCAGAAGCAGCATTTTTATTTTTTTCGTTTTTCTCTTTTAAGGTCATATAGGAAGTGAGTGATGTATTTTAAGACTTCATGTTTTTAATGCGTCGGAAATTTAAATGAAGTGACTGACAAAGAGATGCCTTTTGCTTGACTGGGAGAAAGTTGAAATCTTTGTGTTTTTACTATTTATGGTCTGTTGTAAGTTCGCCAGTACACAGATAATTCATATTTTACAAAAAAATAATTTAAATGGGATTTTCTCTATTTTGTTTTTCATTGTTTGCTAACAGAAATTCCAGCAGGTAAGTGCCCATTAGCCCTTGATAATTTCTAATTAAAAAAAAATGATTTGAGCCTTCCATGTTTTGTCTGAGCAATGTAATTTATGGAATTCAATTTTACTAATCTTTATCTGATGAGCCCTGAATGCATCACATTGATTCACTAAGTCATTGAACCATATAAACTTAAGGAATAATTAAGGTTTAGATTCTTGGTATCTCAGTTGGTAGTATGTATTAAGTTTTATCAACAATCTATTAAATATATTGCCATCAGTATTTTGGTTTTAAACTTACCTAGATGAACTTATATTTGTATTTGTTTCTAAGTAAGATAGTTGATCAGCTGTTGCTTCACCTGTTGCAGAAATAGGACAGAATTGATTCAGTGATTATTTTGTTAAAACTTGTCAGACTACCCATATGTAACGATTCTGTGCATAAATTGAATAAACATAATACCGAATAAATTTTTCAATATAGATTTACCAACTATCAATGTTTCATTTTTTTCATTGTTTCCCAGCAGCCAATTCTTCACAATGCTTATTGTCATTGCCAGTGTCACAGGTGATATGTTTGTCTTGTACCCCAAATGTGAACTAAAGCATTTGTAAAATAGGACAAACATTTTTCTCTTACAGTTGCTTGACAAGTCCTTTGTATGTAAGGGTCTTGGAATCACAGGCAACAAGGCAACTCAATTCAACAAGGTATTTACTGATATTTGTATTGTTACCAACTTTGCGGTCCTATCAAATGCTAATATGTCTTTCTAATTTTCTTTTTGATTTTTTTTCCTTCTGTTTTGTACTTCCTTACATGATTCTAGAAACTTTTAACAGCGAAGCAAAACTCTAATTACCCACAGCTCTTCATTATGTAAATAGGAATCTAAAACATTATACTGCACTCCACTTTCATAAATTTAGGCCGATGGTTAAGTTCATAAAGTCTGATTTTCTCAAAGTTGTATTCCATTTAGTTTTTTGTAAATTTCAATAGTTGTCCCAACTTAATTGTTACTGGGAATAAATGAAATAAGCTAGTCCTTAAATGCATGTAACTAGTTAAAATTTGAGTATTTATGAATGGAGGCCAACTGTGGGTTTATTTTGGGTATGTTATAAAATGTAGCAGTTATATTTGTATATAATATACATATTTGTGTGCCTCACTACAGACAATATTTGTTTTGCTGTATACTGTTATTGGACACAAGTGTCTCTAAAACTTCAAGATTAATTTGACTTAATATTTCATAAAGGCATCATCCCATGTATATTTTGAGTAGGATTTAAATTTTCTGGTGTTTGGCTGTACAAGTTTGCATCTAAATAACGAATCTTCTTTTTTGGAGATACTTGAATTTCAAAGGGCTTCATCATCTTGATTGGTTGTGCAGAATAAAGCAAATAAACATGAATGAAAGGGAAAACATGAAATTTTTACATTGGACTTAAACAGACGAAGGTACCACATTTCAAGTCACCCCATTCAATGGACTAAAACCACAGTTTCGTTAGCCTAGCCCTTTCTGTGGTTGGGCCTTGTTAAAATCTTATCAGTCTTGGAGCACAGCTATTTGTTATGTGGGTAAGTCAGCGGTTTCTGTGTTCAGCTGAGGCGGTAATTTATGTTTCAGGGTAAGGTCAGTTAATCACAGGAAGGTGGCAGAGTACAGAGTGGCAGTTAGTGAGAAAATTATTCTGGAATCAGGGAAGCATTTCATTAATGTTGAAATATATTTGAAAGAAACCTCCTGGAACATTTTCCAAGTAGCCTCCACTGTACTCTTTAAGTATCAAGTTTGACTGCTCCACACTAAGTTCCACAGTGTGTGACACACACAATGGTGCATTGCAGCATTAAAATTTCGCCTGGATCCATGTCACAAACCATGTTTGCATAAATTAATGAGATCACCATCTGTGCTGTAGGGAAACACTGGATGCCAATGTCCTGGTCAGTTCCTAAATTGGCGCATATCGAACATTGACAGGAATGGGGTATTATGTGTTGGTTGCTACTTAAAGATTGGCGTAGTAATGAGATAAAATTGGTTCTTTAAGTGTTTACCACAGATGTGTGCAGAAAATCTTGTAATGGCAGGTTGCATTTTACAGATGGTTACATTACTTGCCCTCCCGGAAGCAACATGCGTCCTGAATAGACTGACTTTAAGCCTGCCCCCAGCAATAACACTTTCAGAGATGGCTAAACAGGCTGATGGTTGAACTGGCTCTCAATGCACAAAAAGTCTCACCTTCAGGAGCTGCTGGCCAATCATCCCAGAATTGCCAGAACTCTGGGTTAGCACTATTGAGGAAGTTGAAAAGGACTTGGAAGTTGAAAGAAAAGGGTTGACATCTTGAGTCACAGCACTCACAGGTTAAAGATAAAGTTGTCATAGTCTTACTGGACCATAGGACTGCTTTCTCATTGAAGAAATGACTGGTAGTAATTTAACCTAGTATCATCATATCTCAAGTGAGAGAGATTGAGAAGGAGAGTACTACATGCTAACCTCAGCTGGTGTGAGAATTGAACCCATGCTGTTGGCATTATTCAGCATTGTAAGTGAGCTCTCCAGCGAACAGAGCTTATGGACCTACACCTCCTAATTTAATGTGCTTCCTCTCTTTCCCACCTTTTCAAATAAGTATATCATTTTAGACATATTTAAGAAGCAAAAAACATCTATTTCTAGCTTGCAATTCTGAATTGGTGTGTTTACAAACAGATCAATTGGATAGTAAACCGAGTATAATTTAATTAGCGAATCAACTGTGTATTTGAAAGCTTGCAGTGCTGTGATTTTGTTTATAGTTGTGATCCCATTTTCCTTCTTCATGCCCATGCTTAAATTTATTATATGTAAAGAATTAGGTTTGTACACAACAGAAAAAATGCTGCATCCATGATGTGAATCCATATTTGTAGTGTACCATTTAGGCAAAGAAGAAATTAACAGAAAGGCTGAGTGCAACTTAGTTGAGTACGTTAACCACCTGCCTTTTCATTGTTGCTTTTAATGGTTGAATAGATTAGTGTAACAGTTTCATATTTTGATTTCCATTGAATTGTAGATTTTTTTGCAGTATACATCACCTATTACAGGGGAGAGGACAATCACAACAAAACCCTTCATAGTTTTCTTTAATCTCTTATACTCTGTAAGACATAAGGAGTTAAGGGAGTCGGGACGGGTTCCCTGGCAAAGACCCTTCAATATCTTTAGATCAGCTTTAGTACTACAATCTACATGAGTGCTGTTTCACTTAAGGTAGTTTCAGTCTTGTGCTTGAAATATATAAAAATGGGAAATTATTTCTAATTGTGGAAATGAATTAATGGTTGTACACAGGCTCTTTAATTGACCATAATGAAGTAGCTCATTTTGATTTGAAATTTTTGGTTCCCTTTCCCTAACGTCTTTTCGAAAGTCAAAGTTATAAATAAGTTAAAGTTAAGGGCATGGTAGCGACTTGATTACAAAGCAGGGACTTGTGAAGATAAATTGAAAAGCAATAGAGAATCATTAGGCAAAGCAAAGGGGATTTTAAAGTGGTACTTGAAATTACTTCATGACAATCAAAAGTTGTTGTGATGATGTGATGCGGTGTGCTTTAAGGCTTGGAGGGTCACTAATAAAATGAAGCACTGGAGATTTGTTACACTCATTGCTAAGTTGATACAAATCTGCAAAAAATATTCTAACATATTATTTTAAAAAATAATCCTTGAAAATATGGTTTTCCAGAAATTATATTCCTGGGTCTGGTGCAATCATCTGTTATCACTTATAAAGTCTCATTGCACTGTTGTCAACAACTGATGCGTACTAAGCAATTATGAGCGAATTCTACCGTTTGACATAACATTATATTGAACTGACACAGAATCCAACAGACCATAGCAAAAACTCATCTGCATGGAGTTTGGATAATCTGGTGCAGGGTGCTGCATAGACTGAAAGGTTGACATAAATAGTTTGATAAAGGAAATTTTTGGTTAATAACAGGGCAAGCATGAATCATACGTTGAATTCCTGAAAGCTGTATTACACAACAAGGGTATGGACAATCTCAATAATCTTTAACAAAACAGCCTTTAAGGCAGTGAGGAGCCCTAACTGCACTTCGATTGCTATTCTTAAAAATACAAACCTACTAAACTTAGAAAATACTATCGATTCTCAGTAGCTATTCAGATGCTTTGATAATCAACAAGGAATAGGATGAATATTCCTCTTACATGGTACTTGTGAGGCTGATGGGCAAATCATAGATTTTTTTTCCAGCTTTCATAAAAGCTTTTGATTATCACCTCTTGTAAACTCATGAAGAATTAGGAAGCTACTTCAGTGTATTATCGTCTCTCCTACATTATCAAGGATGTATCCTTAATTCTCAGAAGAGGACTTAGATGCAGTTAAATAAAAACTGAAAGAACTGTGGATGTTGTAAATTGGAAGCAAACAGAAATTGCTGGAAAAGCTCAGCAGGTCCGACAGCATCTGTGAAGAGAAATCAGAGTTAACGTTTCAGGTCCGGTGACCCTTACTCAGAACGGGCAATTCTGAGGAAGGGTCACCGGACCCAAAACATGAACTCTGAGTTCTCTTCACCGATGCTGCCTGACTGCTGAGCTTTTCCATTAATTTCGTGTTTGTTTCTTACTTAGATTAAGTTGTTAATTAACTCTGTTTAATGTTTTCGTAATAATATTTTGGTTGTCATTGAAAGAAACAAAGCTCAAAGTACTTTTTCCAAGTAAGAAAGATTTCGTTTTCCTTTTCGTGGTTGATATTATATTGTATGAATATATTTAGGAATCAAGTACAGTCAGTTCATTTGTAACCAGTGGGATATTGCACAGGATGTAACTAATAACAATAGTCAGCCTCTGTGTGACTCAAGGGAACTTTTAAAGGTATTGTTGAGAAGATACCAGGGTTTATGTCACAAATGCTGTATTGGTATTGGTGCATCTTTATGAATGCCACCTTCATCCTAAGCTTGGCACCATCTAGGACAAATCAACCTGCTTGATTGGCACCATGTCCACAAGCATCCACTCCCTTCATCATTGATGCTCAGTAGCAGCAGTGTGCACTATCTACAAGATGCACTGCAGAAATTCACCAAGGATCCTCAGACAGCACCTTCCAAACGCATGACCACTTCCACCTAGAAGGACAAAGGGAGCAGATATATAGGAACACACCACATTCAAATTCCCCTCCCAAGGTAGTCATGAACACAAACAGAAGTTGCTGGAAAAGCTCAGCAGGTCTGGTAGCATCTGTGAAGAAAAATCAGAGTTAACGTTTCGGGTCTGGTGACCCTTCCTCAGAACTGATGGTAGCTGGGAAAATAGTGGTTTATATGCAGATGATTGAGATGGGGAGGGGGTAAGGAGTAAATGATAGGTGGGGATACAGCCCAAAGAGAGAGAAGAGCAGCTGGATAGACAAAGGAGTTGATAATGATCTGGCTAGGAGGGCAAATAGCTGTTAATGGAGACTGTTAGTGACTAATAATAGGTAGTAGGTAATGGCAGACTATGTGGTAATAAGCCCTGGTCTGTGGGGGAGAGGGCTAGGACATGGGAGATTTTAGGCCCTAAAAGTATTGAACTCAATAGTGAGTTTTTTTTTAAGTTCATTTGTGGGATGTGGGCGTCGCTGGCTGGCCAACATTTCTTGCCC